CCGCGCTGAGCCGCCCCGCGCCCCCAGGCCGCCGCCCACCCCCGGCCATGGCGCACGTGGGCCCCCGCGTGGACTACCTGGCCGGCTTCTGCTGCCCGGTCGGGGGGCTGGTGTCGGGCAAGCCGCGCGTGCTGTGCCACGAGAACGAGATCTACCTCTCCAACGGCAGCGAGTTCCTCTACGTCTACGACCAGGAGGGAAAAGTGCTCAAGGTGAGCGGGGCCGCCGGACGCCCCGGCCCGCACGCGGCTCCGAGCCGCCTTCCCCCCGCGCTGCCGCCTCCAAAAGCTCCAGATTGACCCCAGGTCCTTCCCGGGCCCCCAAAGCCGTGGGACCCCGGACAGGGACCTGGCCTGGCGCCGAGGCCCCTTGCTGGGGCGCGGGGGTGTCGCTGCTCGACCCCTCTCCTGATCTCACGAGCCCAACCTATTTAATTGAGGCAGGAGGATCTATTTTTTTCCCTTCTCAGATGAAGCGGCACCTCTTTCATTTCGCATGTACAAAGGGTTTCGCTATTGTCTCTGCTGTGACTAACAGCAGTCGTCGTGTTGAGTTATACACGGCTTCTTTTTTTAATTTGTTCTTATTACCATTTCTAAGAAAGCCCTCGCTGCAGTATCAAGATTTGCTTCCCACACGGTGCTCCTTCCTGGGAAAGTAGACCACGTACGGGCTCCCGCATTCCCGTTTTCCTTGCCCGCTCCCCCAGGAGCGCGAGGTGCTGGCGGCCACTGTGTTGCTGCTTCCCTCCTTCCCATCCCACTGCTCCTCTCCTCGGAAAACGCAGCCGTTCCCGGGGGAGCCCATCGGGCCTGCCCGGCTCCTCACCCTGGAAGCTGCGGCGCTGCCTGTTCCCGGGAATGCCGGTTTGCGGGAAGCAGCCGCTGTTGTCCCGCAGCCGCTTCCTGGTGATCCAGGAGGTGCCGTCGCCCTCTGTGCAACGTCCCTGTGGAGCTGGCGACGTCTTGGCTGCGCGGGCGGCCGTCCCGGAGCTGCCGGGCGCTCCTGCGGGAATCCCACGTTTCCCTCTCTGCTTTTCCGCCCAGGCCGTGTACAA